AAACTAGAAACAAAGTGGTACCCATCAATTAGGGAATGGCTGAACGAACTCTGGCATGTAAATAACAATGAAGTATCACTGTATAATAAAATATGGATGAGGAAGAGAAACATGGGAAGACTATGAAGGGATGCAGATATAAATAAGCAGAATGAAAAGAGCATACACGACTACAGCTACATAAATGGAAATTACAAGGAAATTAAAATGAATACTGTATAATTTTAATAACCAAGTTTGGTCACAGAGAAGAGTTAAGGAAAAATATTTCACTTCTCTGTACAGGTGGGAGATAATGGGTATAAATATTGCCTATACTGTAGAACAAGGTCAATGTGTTGGTTCGTTGTGGCAAAATTATTTTTTTTCCTGTTTCTTTTTAAAATTTTGGTTAAAAGGCTTATCTTGCTGAGGGACAGATGGGAAGGGATATATTGGAAATGTTTTTTTTTTAAAGGCATCAATTTTTAAAAACCACTATAAGTGGAAAAAAAAGTCACTTTTTTCAGCCAAAAAATAGCTTCCTCTCCTAAAAGCAGAGACATGGGAGAATACTACAGCAGAATGTTGTCATACAATAGTCAGATAACACTTGTTCTCCTGTCTGTTTATGCTAGCTGCTTTTGTCACAAGACAGAATTCAACTGGAATGGGAGGCAGAGCATGCAATGACTGTGATGCAAAAACAAAAGTAATCAATAAAACTGATTGTACATTTTAAACTAAAATATATAGTATGTATATATTTATACATATACATATATATATATATATATACACGGCATATATAAAACAAAAAATAAAAAACTGGTTTAAGCTTGACAAGGTAGCTTGTGTTCACTTTACAAAAACAACATGAAGGTTCAAACCAAAGAGTGACAGATTAATAATAAAGTTATTTTTAATAAAACCTAACATAAAATTCAAACTGTTGCTTACAAAGTTGCTTCTGTCGTTTAAACTATCATCAACATCAGTACATCTCATTAACAGCAAATACACAGTAGCATTATTAGTAAAATGAAAGTTAATATATATATTAATAGTGACAAAGGCTTAAAATTTACATGATGTATTTCAAAGACAACAAAAACAGAATTAGAATGTTGTAATGAAGATGTATTTTCTTCTAATTCCCCTTTTAATTCTCTACAGGGATGATGAAATTGTGAACTAAAAAGAAAAATTAGCTCAAACTAAAGAGAGAGAGAATATGAATGTATACATGAGTAAAGAGCTATGCTTTTCTTAAATGGAGTGACGCTCCCTGTACTTCACAAAGTTGTTTTGAGGATCAAGTGAAATAATGTACATCAACTACATAGGAAACCTTCCAATGGTATGTATTTTCATGTTCCAACAGGCCTGTAATCTTATCAACATAGGAATTCCCTGTAACAATGCAGATCACATCTATATTTTCTCCTCCTCTTACATGGATCCTCCCATAAACATTCAACATTCTAGGGGGCTTCCTCTAGCCTTCTTGCCATTATGTAGCTATCAAAAGCTACATGAATGGCCCATCTCCTTTTTCAGACATACAGCTCTGATTACCATCTACAGAACCAATTCCCAAATGGGGACATGAAAAGTCGGACATGACTGAAAACAAATGAACAATAACTTACTTATGCCCACAATGAATCTCCATATTGCCTTCTGAGTAACCACCAACTTTGACCTGACGACACCAAACTACTGGTGTTAAAAAATGATGGGCCTTGGCTTCAGGGAAAAACTTGGGGTCACCGCTGTGATAATAGAGTCACTGATTACTCTCATCCAATCCACACATAACCAATCAGTTGCCAAGTGTTGTCAATTTTATCTCCAGAACATTTGTCATGTCTATCTACATCCATTCACACCACAACTATCCTCGTTTAGGCCCTCAAAGGCAGCTAGGTGGCACGATGGTTTGAGTTCTGTGCCTGGAGTCAGGAAGACTTTAAGTCAAATCCAGCCTCAGACATACTAGTTGTATGACCCTGGGCAAGTCATTTAACGCTATTTGCCTCAGTTCCTCATCTGTAAAATTGAGCTGGAGAAAGAAATGACTTCAGCATCTTTGCCAAGAAAACCCAAAATAGGATCACAAAGAGTCAGACACGACTAAAACAACCAAACAACAATTAACACACACACAAAAAAAATCAGTCTCACTGACAGATCAGATATCATTTGTAAACCCAATCTTCTTCAGCCTAATTACAGAATCACAGATTTAGAGCTGGAAGGAAACTAGAGGTCATCCAGTCAACCTCATTTTATAGATGACAGATGTCACACTTATTTTTTTTTCCTCCTCTGAGGAGAACAGTCAATCAACAAGCATTTATTAAGCTATTATTGTGTGTGCCAGTCACTATACCCACTGTAGAGGACACATGCAACAACATGTACAGACACAAATAGATGGAAAATATATGCAAAGTAGGCATGGGGTAGGGCTTGGACTTGTGATTTAATTAGTACAGAGAGAACCTGGTAAGGAGCTTCCTCTGTTAATGCAAGGTAAGACCAGAGAAGGGGCAAGGCTGCCTGAGGCCCTGAACTCATAGAGGAGTCAGATCTAAATGTATTTAGTAAATGTTCAACAAAATAGTATTGTAAACCACAGATAATGTTGCTTTGTGGCTTTCTGAGTCAGTGTGTGGCCCACAGGCATCTGTTTCTGTTTGAGTTTGACTCTGCTGGACTAGCGCACTGACAGGGCAACACAGCCAGGGGATCTCAGAGGCAGGAACTGAGCCAGGCCTTCCTGGTTCTGAGAACAACTACCTCTCCACTGTGCCACACTGCCTCATACGCAAAGTAAATATAAGGTAAATTCAAAGCTGGCAAGTGAGATCAGAGATACTTGGGGATCAGGAAAGGTTTCACGTAAGAAACACTGCTTAATAGCTAAAACATAAATTATCCCTTGACATTTGTAGGTTTCAGATTTGTGGTTATGGGTTATTAGCGGATTGGCCATCAATAATTAAATGGAATTTTTGTAGATTTGTGATGTACTGTGGAAAATCGCAAATGATGCACATATATAAAGAAAACTAAAAAAAATTCACTAAGTCATAAATGCATAAATATTGTAAATTACTCTATTTTATCTTTTACTACCATATGTATATATGTAAACATTCATAAATTATAAACACTTACACTTTGTTCAAACTTTCAATGCACTAAATAAAAACTAAGCACTCTTTTGGGGAATGCTCCCTCTTTGTCTCTCTACTATCCAGAAACAGTCACATGATTTTCTCCTGAAGTGATCTTTGCTTTGGAGAAGGAAATCCATGAAGCAGTTGTTGCAGCTACACCAGCAGCTGCAAAGATACTACACCATGTATGAGATATTAATTCCTCATAGAAACTGCAACTTTTTTATGGCTACAGTGTTTTTTTACTTATTTTGTGTTTAAAATCTGATCAGAATTATTAAAAATAAAGGTTTGGAATGGGACCTAGAGTTATTCAAAGTTTTTCAGGCTCACAGGGGTCCTGCATCCCTAACCCCCATAAATGTTAAGTGACAACTGTAATAATAATAGCTAACATTTATATATTGCTTACTGTGTATCAAGCACTGTGCTAAACACTTTACAATGGTTCTCATTTGACATTTGACCCTTATAACAACCCTGCTGCAAGATAGATGCTGTTTTTAACCCCATTTTACTGTTTGAGGAAACTGAGGCAAACAGGTGCCCTGCCTAAGGCACACACCTAATAAGTGCCTAAAGCCACATTTGAATTCAGATGTTCCCAACCTCAGATACCGGTCTCCAATCATTGTACCACCTAGGATTTTTAAAATGTGCCATCTAATTCAACCTAACTAAAGTGAAAAAAGACAAGAAACTCTTCTGTAAATGTCAAAAAATTAAAAATAAATTACTTTATGATTGCTACTATTACAGAAATATGATAGTATTTAACAAAGGAAAATCAGACCCTCTAAGACTTAGTCCACTATGGTTCAATGCAAAGATATGAGAACCTGGCATCAAACCAGGACCTCTAAGATCTTAGGCAAACCCTTTACTTCACAGATCTGTTTGCTCATCTGCAAAATGAGAGTATTAGACTTAAACAATCCGTAAGGTCCTTTCCATTTTAAACATTTTGATCCTGTGAAGACTAAGCCTGTTAAACAGTCACCCTGTTGCGCCCCCCCCCCAAAAGACAGTTCTATTTAATTAAAAAATGATTTTTGGGTACAAGATATATTTTCACCTCTTTAAAGATGTTCAAGAATGGGCCTGGCCTAGAGGAAAGGATGGATTAGGTGAGCTCCTAAGGTTCCTTCCATCCCTAAAAGTCCACAATGCTTATATTATATATAATGGAGGCCTATACTGCCTCCGGTATTGGTAAAAAAAAAAAAACCTACCTTAATATTACACAGAATGATGATAATTATTCCCAACTTTTCACTAAAAGCAAACAAAGTCCTGAAGACTACAATCCTCAGGGACTACAGAAAACAAGATAAAGAATGATCTTTGGAATAAAATAATAATATAAATAATATAACACCAATTTCCTCTCATCTAAAAGCACTAAAAAGCAAAAAAAACTGAAGAGAAATAAATGTTCTTATCATGCCACTTGGTAGATGTTTACATAAAACTATACTTATCCCATATGTCTGTTTGGTATGGCTGGTCTCTATTAACCTCCTTGAGGATGGAGACTATGACTTTTGTATTCTGTATAGCACCTAACACCTTATGTGATAAGCATAATAATAATAAGCAATACATAGCATAGCACATTAGGATACTTCTTTTGCTTATACTAAGTTAACTTTAAATCAAATTATCCAGGTGAAAGGGAATAAATCTGCCCCACATGGAGTAGAGTGTTAGAGTTTATTCTACTCTAAATTTATTTTAGGCTCTATATTTGGGGATTGTTTAAAAGACGCTGCACAAGTAGGTTCTATGAGCAATGAGAACGCTCTTCATCTAGGGTTACCATGACAGACTCACCTCCATAGTAGAGTCCTGTAGCAGTGCACATACGCCATTGTCCCTGATACATTCCTGCTATGCTGGGACTGCACATCTGGACACTGACATCTGCCATCTCTTGAGGTTCTAACGATCTCACCATCACCATGTTCACATGTCCAAATTGGTCTCCCCCAACATACTTAAGACAAACCCCTGGTGGCCAAGCCTCTGCTCCTGAGTTCAAACAAAAAGAAAAATGTTAAGACATTAGTGATTCCATGGTTGGTGTGGCTTGCAACATGCCTGCAACCTGAAATAGAGTCTCCTTCATACACACAAGTTGTTTATATCCTAGGACTATACCATTTCCACAATCAGCCAGAAAGAACAAGCATTATGGCAAATAACCTCATATCAATAAAAGAGTTCACATCCTCAAGAGGACACACAAGCAGAAGTAAAACAAATGCTCAAGAATAAAGAAATCAACAGTCTAACAAGCCCAGGATATGTCATCATCATTAACTACACTAAGAAACTGCAGGTGCAAAGGGTCTACATGTCATCCAACCACATTGCTAAACCTTTGGTGGCTTCATTTATTATTCAATAGTCACTATATGGTCTTCAACTTTTTAAGATGCCCTTAAAGTGAAACTGTCACTTTGCTCATCTTTGATTCTTCAAATTATGAACCATCCTGATTTGCTGAGGGCTTGGGACAACCAAGTTACATCCATATTTCCCATTTAAACAATTTTTATTGGTTTTATTCCTTTCCTGTGTCCTCTAAGTAGAGAGATCCTAGGCAGAAATGTGGTAGGAGAGCCACATTGTCAACATTCTTGGAGTTGACAAATTAGTAGAGAGAAAAAAAAGTCCAGTGCTATTGTTCTGGCAACTAATGTAGATGCTACTACTACCAAGCTGTACTGAGAGATCCTAGAGGCTTTGGCCAACAATCCCCTAGGATATGGTACAAATAACAACAATAACAACAACAACAACAACAACAAAAAGCTTTGGCAAAGATCCTCTGAAGACACATAAACAGTGCTTTTAGAATATATTTTTATTTATTTACAAAGTATCAATTTGGTTAAAAATTCAGAGTCACAACATGACTGACAGGAAGCCTCCATCACCAATAGCCCTCTCCATCCACTTACATGCATTACTCTGAAGCCTGAGGCTTATGTCTCTAAGGAAGCAATTAATTCCAATGACTGGAAGTTATCTGGCAGATCAAAACCTTTGGACCTAGACATCCTATACAATAAAAACTAGTGAGCTATAAGAGAAAAGAAGGTATAACGATAATAGCCTGAAAAGGCCAGATAATTTGGAGGTAAGGTAAAGAGGCTAGAAAGCTGGAATAACATCCAGAAAGCTGGTGATAAACAGCCAAATCTTAGAGCTACAAGACTAAGGAAAATTAAGACTAAGAGATGATTCTACTTTAATTGAAGGGCCTTAGACAGATCTACTTTATTTGGTGATCAAAGTAGACTAGAAGAAGGGGGATCTAGCTTAGAGTAGGAGGTTTAGAATCAAGATACCTCATATGAGAATACTAACTTAGAAAATCAAGAAGAGAAACTCTTAGATCGGAAATAAATAAATTCTGAGGGGTAAAGCAAAGTCTAGAACAAGGAAATTACTAAAATAACTAATCTGGAAATAATGTTTCTTTACATAATTCTCTATCTACATAGCTATCTATGGTTTATACTCAAATTCCTCAAACTGTAGTGATTTTTTTTCAATGACTAGCTTAGTTTGAGATACTTAGTACTGAAAAAAGATACAAAGTTGAGGACAAAGAATTAAGTTCCACAGTTTTAATCCAAAGTGGAGTTCCTCTGGCTTCTACCCCAAACCATAAATGGTAGTAGAAGATGTAACTAAAGGAGAAAGCCTCTTGTAGAGATGGGTTTTGTATTTTGATGTGTCTCCTTAAGCAAAAATTGTGCTTGTCAAACCTTTCTGTTGAATAGAAGGCAAAATAATCAGTGACAGCACTACTGCAAATACACTAAGAACACACACCAGTACTATTGTTATTTCTACTGTATTATACAGGACATTGGTGACCTGCCAAGTATATATTCAGGAGGGGAAAAGTAGTTGATATAAAACAATCTCATGGAAAAGCAGCTGCTTGTCAGACCCTGAACACTGGGAAGTATAAGAATAAGGAGAATCACAAAATTGGCATTTTGTTTTGGATAATTTTTAATTCAAACCTAATAGTAGCCCAGTTCACAAAAAAGCTCAAAGAACCTAGAAACTTATTCTAACTAGGAAACATTTTCTGTGAACAATGGTGATGCCTGTTTCAGGGTAAAAGCTTATTTGTAAGATATTACACCAGGGGCAGCTAGGTGGTGCAGTGGATAGAGCACCAGCCCTGGAGTCAGGAGGACCTGAGTACAAATCCGACCTCAGACACTTGACACTTACTAGCTGTGTGACCCTGGGCAAATCACTTAACCCCACTGCCTAACCCTCCACCCCAAAAAAGACCCCATTAAGATATTACACCAAGGAAAATGACAGATTATAAGCAGTATATACTAATATACAGTATATACTTCAAAAATAGTTTAAAGAAACAGCTGAGGGGAAAAAAAAAAGGAGCTTACAGAGATCTTGGTATAAAATCCAGTTAAGCTGGCTTATCCCAAGAACATATGAAGATGGGAAATTAAACCAATCTGCTGACATTTTTAATAATGTGTTCTCATTGCTAACAATGGTGGGAGAGTCCAAATGTGGCATTAGTTCCATCTTAGTATCTGATGTATGTGAATTAATTATAACAGAATTTATTATAAAACTGAGAATAGCAGCTAGACCTTAACAAGTATTTATGGAAAAAACCTGTGCTGGAAGCAATAATTTTTGAAGTGCTTCAATCAATTGTCATTTGATTCCAAAAGAATGAGAAAGACCACAAATCATTCTTTCACACTTCCCCTACACACACACACACACATACACACACACACACACACACACACACACACCCCTTCATATTGGCCATTTTTGCTTAACTGTTTTATGACAAGGAAGGCTGCAAATGTATTTTCCAGTATAGACATAGCCAAATGGGAATAATATAACAAATAAAAGGCATCCATTTTTTTTAAATTTAAGTAACCAAGAAAACATTAGCAATTATTGACCCACATACTTCCTTTCTTAGCATTATATTTCTTTCTTAGCTACATAAAATTTTTATGAAAAGGGTCTGTGCACATTGAATACAAACTTCACAAAAACAAGAAGAGAGGAGTCAGCCTTTTGCATGATTTTTTACAACAGACTACATCTTTATATTCATATGACTATAAGGTGTACAGAATTTTTTTTAAGCATTTGACTTGGTAGAATAAAATACAATCTTGAAAGCTTTCCTTAGACAAATATCTCTCAGATATACAGTAAAATTATATAAAATTCCACAAAAGGTCCAACTCTAGAGATTAATCTGTCAAACAACCTGCTGAACACCAAAATGACATGTTAAAAAGGAAGAGAGAAAGATACATGTTTGCTACAGGTATTCACCAATGTCATGGAAGATTATCTGTACAATAAAGTCTAAACAAAACTAAAAGCTAAACTAGCCATAATTAAGTCTCAACAAAAGGGAAATTTCCTATGGCAAGAGTCTCCAAATCTTCTATTTGTACATGTCAATGTACAAGCTGCACTGATTTTCCCCAAACACCATAAGCCTCTTCAGTGAAATCCGCAGTAATATTGGGAATGGTGAGGAAGGGAAAGGGGAAGGGAACACATATCTATATAGCACATTACTTGCTAAGTACTTTCACAAATACGATCTCATTTGATTCTCACAACAACCCTTCAAGACTATCATCCCCATTTTTCAGTTGAAGAAACTGAAGTAATTTGCCCGGGACCACACAGCTAGTAAACTGTCTGAGGCCAGATCTGAAATCAGGTCTTCCTGATTCCAGGCCCAGCACTCTCTCTACTACACCATCTAGCTGTCTCTCTGAGTTTGGTCCAAACAAATACTGGGGTGAAAAAAACAAAGCATATCAAAGATATTACACCCAGATGATGGCATATCTGCTGAATTAATGTATCAATATGTATAGCTTAGATTAGTGTTGCAAATGAGTAATAAGATAGACTCAGAGCTGAATAAGAGTAAATAAATTGGGCTGGACTGAATTCATTAAGACACCACATTCAAGGATCCCCAAACTGCTCTTAGTTGTAAAAGCCCTTCTCTCTAACAACATTTCTCCAAGGACACTATGCCTATGAATCAATGACCAATAAAATCTCTTAAGAATTAAAATTAGAAATAACCCAAACGATAACAGAAAAACATAAGTGGATGCAAGCAGGCTATAGCATGTAACATGATGATCTGGATGCTAGAAGTAGAATAAAAGGCATTATTAATAAGTATAATAAAAAAACCAGAGGAGCTAAGCAATCCAAAGTGGCACATTATTGCCCCAACTCCAAAATATTAAAATATCAAAGGGCTCCAGTACATTGCAATTTGAAATTCTGCATGAAATCACAGCTCTTTCAAACTGCATGCATTCCTTTAAATCGGTTCTTCCACAACAGGAACAATCCGGGTAACTCTACAAAGCTATTTTACAAATGGACAAAGTTCTAGAAAAATAAAATCACATTTGCATAATTAGCTGAAGAAACAAATTTTAGTCTCAAGTAACCCTTTTCACTTTGGGAAAAAAAAATTCAAATGCAAGGAGTCCAATTCTCAATGCTCATTTAAAAATCTGGTGCACAAATACAGGCCCTGAAAGTCAAGCCAAAACCAAGAGTTCAGATCCCTCATCCAGTTCACAATTTGACATTTTAGCCACTGCTGTCACTACTTTCCCAATTAATCTAACAACCAGCTAACTGCCTAACCAAAACTTTATCTGGACTTTCATAAACTTGGTCATTTTCCTGAAACACAGTATTAAACATCCTTAAAAGGAACTCCAAAAAGCTCATGGATTAAAAATCGATCTGGGGCAGCTAGGTGGTTCAGTGGATAGAGCACCAGCCCTGGATTCAGAAGGACCTGAGTTCAAATCCGGTCTCAGACATGTAACACTCACTAGCTATGTGACTCTGGGCAAGTCACTTAACCCCACTGCCCAGCCAAAAAAGAAAAAAAGAAAAGAAAAAAAACCTCAATCAAGCTGCCAAGCATCTATAAAGTACCTATTATGTGTCAGGCACTGTCCTAGGTGCTAAAACTAAAAGCTCATAGGAGCTCCAAAATTTTGAGCATAAGCCATTGGTTAAAATAAATGTCTCAATTTAATTTGGGAGGGGGAAAAAGTCTAATTTTTGAAAAAAGAAAAGTAAATGGCTTCTAAAAAGCTGCTCTCATAATAAAGAAAGTTGTCAAAGACAACTGAATTAGTTTTTGATTAGTTAACATAGTAAATCATCAATGCTATAAGGTTACTCAAGGCAGAAATGATGAGGACCCAAATGGCAGAACCATTGTGATATTGGAGATAGGGACCAGACTGGTGATTCTATTGACATAGGGAGTGTCCCCATAAAGAAATGTCCTCTATAAATGTAAGCAAACACCTTCACTTCCTACTTTTAAAAAAGTTGCCTGGGATACTGAGAAATTAAGTGACTTTGTCAGGGTCACAATTAGTACATGTCAGTGGGCAGCACTTGAACCCAGATCATCCTGATTAGGAGACCAGCTCTCTATCCAGTACCTTTCTAATATTATTAAATTCGAAACAAGTATGGAAATCAGCACAGACACAAAAGAAATTAGAGAGGTAACATTTAGTGGTTAGAGGGGCTAGTCTCTGAGTCACCAACATCTGGGTTCAAAGCTTTCATTTGACACTTATTGGCTATGTGGCCCTGGGCAAGTCACAGCCTCCCTCAGTCCCAGGGAACTCCCAAATTGTTGTGAAACAACAGTTACAGGTCAGCAGTGGCAGAAGGAGTTTCCTCAAAGGAAGCTGACAAAGAAATCAGAATGGGTAAAGAAAAAAAAAAGGACAAGAGTCTCAAGAAAATTACATAAATCTGACCCTCCCCTCTCCACATAAGCTACCATGTGCATTATAGCTGATGTATTATTCTAAAAAACAAGCACCACCTATAAAGCAGTATTAATTCAAGTTTCTTATTCATCAACTATACTGATCCCTCAAATCAAGACTATTTTCTAAAATATGTGAGAAATACTATACATGATGGTTAAGACAGATGAGTTCACTCTACTAGTCTTCTGGTTTTGCTTTTTCTTACCATTTTCCTTAATCAAAAAGACAAGCAAAAACTAAAGGAGGTCCCATTGTCATAATCTCTTTCTGGGTTTGTTCTGAGAGTCCAGAGTTTTGCTTCATCTCACATCAGATCATTTTCCTAGAATTGCATTACTGTCTTCTCCACAAGTTTCAATTAAATCTTGCCCTTCCTTTTAAGGAGCTTCATCTCACTCAGTGCTTCTCCAAGAGTCCTCATTAACTGGCTACTTACTTAGAGGCCACTTTACTAGGACTTCACTCATTCAAAGTACTTTCATTAGCTAACTGAGCAGGCACAAGATTTGAAGAAATAAAATCCCAATTCAAATTTAAAAAAAAAAAGGTCAGTAAAAAGAGATTTCTAGTAGTTAAATGGTACTTAGATTCACTATTAACAAATGGAGTACAATTAACATTCCTTAAAGTTAGGATGTTTCTACAAAGCAGCCCATTCAATACAATGAAATTTTGTTTTCCAACCCTATCTTCCTTCTTTACTGGTTATAGGCAAACTCCTAGAATTTTTGGTCCCTCTTCCACAGAGGTAAGACCATCCCTTGTCTTAAAATCACAGACAAGTACTCAGGCCCTAGTGAACAGTTTACAGAATTATCCTTGTAGTCCCAAATGACAAGAACTTTTAAAGGAATAGCTGTTAACTGACACTCCCAACCACCCAGTTTTCCTCAAAAAGACACCTTTTCTACTACACACTGGTAATAACCCTGAAGGTGAAGACTAATTAGAGCAGAACTAAAATGGGAAGCAGAAGCAGGTGAAGTCACTAGCACATACAAGGCTTCTCTTTCTTTTCCATTTCCTACATGAAAGTTCAAATGTTTATATGCTGCCAAGTCACAAGTGGTTGGGTGGAAGAGAGTAGGAGAAGACCTCGATTTCTTTTCCTAGTCAGGGACATTGATATTTTAAGGCACTGACCTTTGTTCATCATGGCAGTACAAGAAAATGCTGTACCATGTTTAAGAAGAAAAAAAACAAAGTTACACAATCATATAGCTCAAGTTAAAACATTTACCTCTTAATTTTTATTAAATTTTAGTTTAAGGAGAAACCAAAAGTTGTGGGCGAGGGAAACTCCCTGGCCACACATTTACCAGAGTTTTGTATCCGCCATGTTTTTGTAAATTGGGTGTCAGGAGGTATCGATTCCCCTTCTCCTATGGTAACATCCTCAACAAAGGACATAGAGGGCACGCTGATGTTTGGACTCTCAAAATCATAGTAGGCTCCAATAGCTGCTTGCAGGTTCCTGTAAATCAAGAGAGAATGCAACACACTTCAGTCCCAGTGAGGTAAAGCCTCCCTTAAGAGAACTAAATCTACCCTTTAGTAAACTTCAGTATTTCACTACCCAACCCAATGGTTTTTTCCTCAGAGTTTATGACAAATGCTCATACTCCTAGAATGTCTTCAACTCTCATAGCTATCACCAAGTAACAAAAGAAAAAGTACTCCCATAAAGAAAAGATTACCAAATACCAAGAAAAATAAGCAAAAGCATAGTTCATGAAGTCTCCACACTCATAAAGAGGCCCCAAGACAGGTGAGGTGTGGAGTCAAGAGACAGACAGACAGACTGAATGAGAGTCAGAAGCTGTCAATGTTTATTACTCTGGAATATGAAAAGAATAACTTTAAAATTCAAACTCCTTGAAAGCTCCATCATGTTACTACAAAGCAGCCAATACAGGATCCACAATTACATTAACACCAAAGGTTAAAAAATTATATAGACTGCCAAAAGAAAAAAAAAAGCTGATTTAAGTCATATTTATTACTATTCAAAAAAAATCAAAGAAATGTTGGTAATTACATTAGTGGCTTCATTTCTCATTCTACTACAACTAGTGGAATCAAGTTCCTTCAGCAAGCAACAATATCAACTGTTATCTTCTCAGCATAGCAGTTACACAGCATTAGCAGATACTCAAATTTGTAAACACAGCACACAGCCAATGGCAGCAAAAGTCACTAAAAGTTACTTAACAGGCACACCATTAACAATAAATTATTTCATACCACGATGCTCACTTGCAGCTGCAGATGTTTGTAGTTGCAGAGCTTTTATTTTCCTTACAATGGCCAGCTTGGTCAAACTTTATAAAATGAATGTCTCTAACATTAGCCAATTTTGACTAGCATTACAACAGTGACCACATATATACTAAACATAAAGCAGAGCAGGACTATTAAGTTTTAAAATAGATCCTATTTGCTATACCAGATAACAGTATAACTTAGGCACTAGTCTTCATGGCAATTTCCTATTTGATTGACAGTGATGTGTTTAATCAAAAGCAGCATGTAATCCACCCCCTACCTCCCACAAACTGGCATATGAGCACACCTGGAGATAGTCATATCTCGAAGCACAGATTTTGGAGCCAGTGAAACAGAGTAGGATAGAAAAATAGTGAGGGGAGCTACTGACCAACCTCTTTTCCATGGTGTCTATACCAAAATTTTCTCCTCAAGCTACTTATACCTTACCTTTTACCTTTCCACACCTCTTCAAATGATTTCACCTCATAAATCACTGAAAAAACTGAGGCCATCTGTCACCTATCCTCTCCTTCCAGAATCCCAAACTTCAAAACATCTCAACATCATCCCTCCCAATCTCTCATTCCCTTTGCTACAATCTCAGAGGATGAATAAAAAGCCCTTCTTTCCTCTTTTACTCATTCCTTTGATCTCATCCCCCTTTTTATTTCTTCTGGGAACTTGCCCCTTTTCTCTCCTCTATCTCTAATTTTCAACCTCACCTTATACACTGTACCCTTAACCTGCAATCTACAAACAGATCCAGATTTCTCTTTTCTTGAAAGAGCCTTCACCTGACCCTACCATCCCTCTCAAGCTATCTTAGTTTCTCATCTCTTTTTAATAGTCAAATTTTTTTTTCTTTTTGGTGAGGCAATTGGGGTTAAGTGACTTGACCAGAGTCACATAGCTAGTGAGCGTTATGTGTCTGAAGTCAAATTTGAACCCAGGTCCTCCTGAGTTCAGGGCTGGTGCTCTATCCACTGTGCCACCTAGCTGCCCCCATAAGTCAAATTCTTAAAAAAAACTGTTTAAAGACAAAACTCAGCTCAAGTGCTACTTTTTACATGAGGCTCTTTCCTCTGATTTGCTTTCTTCCCACAACCGCCCACGTCTTCATTCCTAGGACAGGTACCTTCATCCTTCTCCCCCCCCCCCCCCCGCCCCATCCCAGGTTCCTTCCATATGTTGTCTTTCCTCATTAAAATATAGGCTCCTTGAGGGCAGCAACCATCTCTCTGCTTTTATTCCCAATGCATGCACATTGCTGGCACTTAACATTTGTTGACCTGTTTGTTAATAAGACCTTTCCTGGTCTCCCAGCTGCCGGTGTCTGCTCCCAAAAATTACAAACACAAACTCTCTGTCTCTCTTCTCTCCTCTCCTCCAGTAGAATGTTAGATCCTTAGGGACAAAGGCTGATTTTTATCTGTATATCCCCCCCAGGTAATACAGGACAGTGTCTTATATACACATGGCAGGCACTTAATAAATACTTGATTGGTACACTCATTTCCACTATATCCTAATCCTTTCCCCAAGTATTTAACACAGTTGACCTCCCCTCCTCCTGAATACTCTCTTCTCCCTGAGTTCACAACAATGATCTGTTGTGGTTCTCTTCCTAACTGCCTGATACTTCTCAGTCTCCTCTACAGGGTCATCATTCTGCACTCCTCCACTCCAACACCTCCTATGAGTAGATAGATCCCTGGTCCTCTTCCTTATCTCTATGCTCTTTCTTGGTGATTTTATCAGTTCCCATGTATTCAATTATCACCTCTATATAAATGACACCCAAATCTACATATTCAGTTCTCATTTCTCTCTTGAGCTCCAGTTCCAGATCTCTATTTGTCTGCTAACACCTCCACCTGTCCTTATCCCACAGCCATCTAATGTTGAACATGTCTAAAACCAAACATACCTTTCTAAACCCAACCTGTCCCTAACTTCTTTGTTTCTGTTGAAGGCATCACCTTCCAGCCACTCAGGTCAACAATTTCAGTCATCCTTATTTCTTCACTCTTCTTCTTCCTCTCCCCCTCCCCCTACAGCCAATCAGTTAACGAATCTCAATCAATTCTATCTCACTGTATTTCTCCGATCTATCTTGTTCTCTCCTCTCACACCACAACTACCTTAGCTCTGACCCCATCACCACACATGGACTATTATAAAAGCATTCCCCTGCATCCAGTCTATCCCTACACCAATCATTCTAAAGACCACATCTGACCAAGTCATTCCACTACTCAAAAAGCTTTCAGTGGATCCTTGTTGCCTATAGAATACATTACCCACACCTCTATTTGGCACTAAAATCCTTCATGATCTGGTTCCAACCTACAGCCTAGTAACCATTACTCCCCATTCATACTCTCTGCACTCCAGACAAACTGGTCTATTTGTTGTTCCTTATTACCAAACATTTCATCATCCAGCTCTGAATATTTCATAAAATCCACTCCCCCTAGTCTGTCTTCGAATCCCCACAACCCTTTAAGGTTCAGCTCAAATGTCACTTATGTCAAGAGGCCTTTCCCAGTCTCCCTAGTTGTTAGTAAAAGTAACATACCTCCATCACATTGCATTTAGTTGGTAAATATCCTTCACTTATCCGTGAACATGTTACACTGTCCTGTCTCCCCACCTGCCAGCAGAATCTATGCTCTTTGGGAACAGTCTGTTACATTTTTTTATTTGTATCCCAGTGTATAATGCATAGTATACATATTTAATAAGTCTTGCCGATTTTTCAGTTTGCAATCATTTCTTTCAAGGTTTTTTTTGTTTTGTTTTATTTTAAAGGAAGCAATGCTTCCTGCTGTCAATACAATTGTTTCTTATTTCAATTCCCCAACAAGGAGCCTGAAGAACTGTTGTTTCCTTTCTGTTCCCCTGGCTGTAAAATATACTTTAAAGTAAAGAAGCTATTTATGCCCCCAGGCCTCCTGCCAATTCCCTTCTCTGTCTTGTGTCACATTTCACCACTTGGTCCCAACATGAAGATGAGACTCAGAGCACTGCAGAAAGTTAAAACGCTCTCCAGATGCAAGTTTAAAAACATATTCTTGCTACTCTGCCTAAACAGGTTTGTCCCCCACAATTTGCTCTCAAACAGCCAAAGCAAATGGTAATGCTTACAATGCAGGTGGCTGAGCCAAGCAAGGATTAAACAATTTTTTTAAAGATCAAACTGAAAATGAAAGTAGCAAAGCACAAGCCTGGCAGGAAGAAGGAGTAAGAATGACAAAGCAAATTTATTTAAGTTTAGAGTTGACAGAGGATTTTTAGCCCAAATTTAAAATTTCCTGGTAAGTTACAAAACTCCTCAGTGATTAAATCATCCATATTACAGTCTCAATGGACTAAGTAAGCAATGGTAGGAATAAACTCACTCAGGTTTCAATCCATAGACACCAACAGACAGACCTGCTGTGCATGCTCTTTCATATCTTGAACAACACATTCAGCTTACAGTTTAGTACAAAGGAAAGAACATTGGATTTAGTCAGAAGATCTGAATTCAAATATCACTTCTACCACTTATTATCATTATCTGTATGGCCATGGGCACGTCACTCAACATCTCTTGGCCTTGCTTTCCTCATCTGTAAAATGGGGGAGTGTTGGACTAGAAGGCCTATAAGGTCCCTTTTACCTTTGAACCTATGATCCTGTTGTACATAGCCACCAAAAAATTCGGCATCAAATAAAGTCAGCTGACATGATTAAGACTTCCCTTTACCACTCCCAAAGGCCTTGCAGTGTAAGTAACCCAGAACTCTGGACAGCAGGAAGGTCTGAACATCTAGAGTACTTCAGTACTTTCTGTTAAATATTGCTTTTTAGTTTTCTTCTGTTTTAGGGATGTGGAATCAGTTTTATTGAGACATCTGTCTATTCTTCTAAAAAATAACAAAAAACAGAGATCAATCTCCCGAATTTTGAGAAATACCTATAATCATCAACCTCCCTCCCACATAGGCAGCTTCCCATAGCCTAGGGTTTTGGGAAGGGGGGCAGAAGTCAGGCCCTGGATCTCACTGGTATGAAGAGTTTCCCTGGTTGCCCTCCACCAATGCAGTTGTGTAATTTAGAGCCTTCGAGACTCTGAGGGTCCCTGAAAGGTTAAGTGACTTGCCCAGGGTCACATAACCAGGATGCTTGAAAGCCTCAAGTGAACCCAGATCTTCCTGACTC